CACATAGTGCTCTGCATCAGCTCTGCTGTTCCACAAGCACAAAAAGCACATGTGCTTTGTGTAGCCACTCTGAAGGCCCAGTAGTAAACTGATGACTTTGAGATCGCCACATATCTTCCACTGGTGTTTCTCATACTCTATAGCGGCCAACAGAATTTTCATTGTTTCATAGCTCTCAGTCATTTTTGTTGCGTGTGCTATTGGGACAGATGGAAGCCGATTGCCATTGTGTAAAAGAACAGCTTTCAGAGAGTCTTTTCCTGAGTCTATAAACAGCCTCCAATCCTCTGTCTTGTATGTTTCAGACTTGCAGAGTTGTTGCATGAGAGATACTGCGTCCTCGCAATAACAAAGGTTGTTTGCCATCTTGAAAAATGCAGACAGCTGTCTATGTCGGTAACGCACTGTAGTGATATACACTCCATCTTCTAGCAGGTTATGCTGCTTTAGTCTGGATCCCAAAACTTCAGCCTTTTCTTTTGACAAGTTTAGGTCCCTGATGAGATCATGAAGCGCTTCTTGAGTAAATAGTTTAGGCCTGGCATTTTCAGAGTCATCCTGGTAGTCGTTTTCCATTGAGGTAGAGGTAGAATCGGAATCACTCAATTCTTGTTCAGTCGGTGGATTTGGGACTGGAAGTTCAGCACTGTGCGGTACTGGTCGGATTGCAGAAGCAATATTGGGGTACTGTACCTTGCCTCGTGTCTTGATTTTTATTCCCTTAATATTTGTGAGACAGAAGTAGCAGTCACTACTGTGGTCTTTAGGTTCACGCCATATCATTGGTACAGCAAACGGCATTCCTGAACTTCGTTTACCACACATCCACTCGCTCAGGTGGTTAACACAAGACTTACAGGCTACATGAGGTGCCCATTTCTTGTCTTGGTCACCCAAATGACATTTGAAGTAACTTTTGTAGTTCAGTCGAACAGCTTTTGTGATTGGTTTCTTGAGGCTACCAGGAGTGAAGGCACCACATATGTAGCAAAAACTGTCAGCACCGTTCACACACTTGCGACGTTCCATGTTTTGTTAATTTCAGAGTAATTACAAATCATGCAGGTGTAGATATGCAATATCATGAATCAGCAAACTGAAACAAACATAAAAGCACAAATCAGGACAAAATAATTGCATAAGTGGAGCCAATGAGCATATAAATTACTGTATGAATAGCATGGTACACTAAATATATAGATATGCTGGTTCTGGAAAACTGAGCCTGATACAGCTATACGAATGTCATAATTGAGTTCAGCACATACAATTACACTAGAATCAGACTGTTTTGATCCAGAACCATGAGAATTTTTTTTATGTTGACCAGTGTTATTATGACCCTCTCAGTGCTTACACTCTCTCTTTCATCATTTGCATGCAAGTTATTCTGAGGGGTGGTTTTATTTTTTCTCACTGGTACCTTGTAATATGGAAGTCTCATGTCTAGTTCCACACTCTCCTCTGCAGTGACTTTTTGTTTCTAATCTGTAAACTATAGTCATATCCTTTATACTCAGCCAATGGTATCAACTCTTTCATGGTATTTCGTCTTTGCAGGGTGGGATTATAGTTTCATAGGCAATTACATATCATAGGTGCCATACAATAGACTTTAGTTCTTGCTTTGAGAATCGTCCACTTTTTTCACCCTTGTTAATAACAAGCATTTAATCTTTTTAAGCAGCTTCTGTTAGCCCAATAAATCTCTATCTTCAAAATTTATATTAATATTATGTTTATTAAAATAAAGCATTTTTTAAATAGCTTTCACTCGCCTGATAGGCCAGTTCTCTTATAGCCTCTCATCGCTTGGGGTTGTCACTTCATATGATAATTTAGCTTTGTCGGCCCATTACCTTATTCTTATACTATGTTATTTATTCATATTATTTCATTGTTTAAAGTAAGTTTTGTGGCCTCGGAGCATTCTCATAATAAATCTTCATCAATTTTTGTTATAACAAACTGTACACTACAAGTACAGTACTCTATTTTAATCAGTTTTGTAGACCCTAAACACAGTGTCTTGTGTGTCTAGGACATAATATGGTCCTGCCTCACTCCTCTTCCCCCTGATGTCCATCCTTTTGTCACTACCACCTTCCCCTTGATGTCCACCCTTTTGTCACTACCTCCCTCCCCTTGACATCCACCCTTTTGTCACTACCACCCTCCCCCTGCTGTCCACCCTTTTGTCACTACCACCCTCCCCTTGACGTCCACCCTTTTGTCACTACCACCCTCCCCCTGCTGTCCACCCTTTTGTCACTACCACCCTCCCCTTGATGTCCACCCTTTTGTCACTACCACCCTCCCCTTGATGTCCACCCTTTTGTCACTGCCACCCTCCCCTTGATGTCCACCCTTTTGTCACTACCACCCTCCCCCTGCTGTCCACCCTTTTGTCACTACCTCCCTCCCATTGATGTCCACCCTTTTGTCACTACTACCCTTCCCTTGATGTCCACCCTTTTGTCACTACCACCTTCCCTTGATGTCCAGCATCTTGTCACTATAGCGCATTTTTTCCCAGCAGAGAAAAGATGCCCCGCCCCCTCCTCAAAAGTTACAGCTTATTGGCTGTTGCAAATCTGTCCGATTTCGTCCTGAAGTAATGATATATTTCTAAATGAGTTTATTCATAATCGTTGGGATGTCGTTTCTGACGAGGAAGACATTTAGCTAAATTATATAAAGATACATACCTTCATTATTTCAAACATAAGCACATAGGAAGTTTATCAGAAGTATTATACGTGAAATAACTGATAAACTCGGTTAGCAAATTCACGTTTTCGGAGGATGCATTTAAAATACAGTATATACTTATTTTTACCCACAATAAGGCATACTAAGACAATTTACGCATCAGTAAAACTACATCATGCAAAAATTAACATTTTAAAAGATCAGAATCACCTTGAAATATTACACGACCGTCAGCAGAGGCGGGAAATATGACTGCGAACTACTTCATATTCTTCCTGCCTCTGCTGACGGTCGTGTAATATTTCAATGTGATTCTGACCTTTTAAAATGTTAGTTTTTACATAATGTAGTTTTACTGATGCGTAAATCATCTTAGTATGTCTTATTGTGGGTAAAATAAGTATATTAAATGCATCCTCCGAAAACATGAATTTGCTAACCGAGTTTATCAGTTATTTCACGTATAATACTTCTGATAAACTTCCCGATCTTCCTATGTATCTTTATATAATTTAGCTAAATATCTTTCTCGTCCGAAATGGTCATCCCAACGATTATGAATAAACTCATTTAGAAATACACTGTGATGGATCCTACAAACTGCGTAGCAGTCACCACCTGCTATCACATTCCAACGTGCCGTTGCCTAGCAACGAAACTATTCACCGGCGACTTCTCGGGTTTTCCCAACATGACTCATAGCGGCTGCTGCTGGGTATATAAGCTCTGTCTCTCCATTGAGAATTCATTCTGACCATTCTTCTTGAACTAGCAACACCTCCTCCTCCGCCACTGCCTGGCTGCCCTTCGCTTCTCCTCGCCTGCCTGGCGGTCCTCGCTCCGCCAGCGAGCATGGCGACCCACCAGCTGTCCTTCTCTGAGCTTCCTCACCAACCAACTCTCATTCTGCACCTCCAGCACCAGACTGTCTATCATATATCTTATATTATACACATTAGAGTTTCCTTCCATCCTGAGTGCTAGACAACATTAATCTCTCGATACCCCTACAATGGTGACTCCCGGAGATTAGCACTCACACAGGATGGAAGACACTGATCACGCTCCCAGTCTTCAAGCAGACACCGGCTCTCTTCCTGCCCCAAGCACCACATCCCTACGACCCCAGCACACCCGTCCTGCCTCAGACGCTGACCCAGGCCCACACACCCCCAGCAGGCGCATCTGACGACTCAGTACCTGCCGTGAGAAGCACACAACATCCATCGCCTCCACACCCCCCTTTCTCCCTCAGGTACTCCCTGCTAATGTCCTGCACCCTGCTGCTGTCGTGGACCCAGCTGCTGTCACGAGCCCTTATCCGCTTCTGCTGACGCAGCCCCTGCTCCTGATCCAGGCACACACACCCCAGCAGGCGCATCTGACGACCCTGTACCTGTCGTGAGGGGTACACCAATCATCGCCTCCACACACCCTTTTCTCCTTCTCCCACAGATAGTGTGTATCTAGACAGTTGTATTTCAGCGACCGGCTCCATCACGCCATCGCGTTGTCTCACATGAGGGCATGCACGCCCGGTCTGCCTCACATGCTAAGCAACTCTACAAACAACAAGTCCTACACCGCCTGGAGGGGGTATTGTAGTGGACGTCTCCCCTACAAACTGCGTGGCAGTCACCACCTGCTATCACATTCAACGTGCCGTTGCCTAGCAACGAAACTATTCACCGCTTCTGGTTTTCCAACATGACTCATAGCGGCTGCTGCTGGGTATATAAGCTCTGTCTCTCCATTGAGAATTCATTCTGACCATTCTTCTTGAACTAGCAACACCTCCTCCTCCGCCGCTGCCTGGCTGCCCTTCGCTTCTCCTCGCCTGCCTGGCGGTCCTCGCTCCCGCCAGCGAGCATGGCGACCCACCAGCTGTCCTTCTCTGAGCTTCCTCACCAACCAACTCTCATTCTGCACCTCCAGCACCAGACTGTCTATCATATATCTTATATTATACAAGAAAACCACATTAGAGTTTCCTTCCATCCTGAGTGCTAGACAACATTAATCTCTCGATACCCCTACAACACCATTACTCAGGACAAAATTGGACAGGTTTGCAACAGCCAATCAGCTGTAACTCTTGAGGAGGGGGCGGGGCATCTTTTCTCAGCTGAGAAAAAACGCACTATACCACCCTCTCTTGATGTCCACCATCTTTTCACTCCCACCCTCCACACAATACAGTATACCGGGTACTGCATACACTACAACCTGCTCTTAGCATCAACTTTGTTTGCTATATTATCTGCCTTTCACCACCTGGTTGCTCTCACCGGTATCCCTCAGTATCGGCCTGGTACTCTGTTATACGCAACACACCATCTGGATCAACATAACCAAAGCGGCCAGACACACGACCTGCTGAGTCCCGCGTCTCGATCCTGAAGCTTTGGTGGTCTCCTGAACCTGTAAATTTAAGAGTAATTAATTCAACTACATCACCAACTTTTATAATCAAACTCCTCTTTTGTTTACACCACAAAATATGTTAGAAAATTATTATACATAACTATAATGGGATACAGAATAATTAATTTAGCAGGAAACTTGTAAAACATATATACTGAGGAACTAAATTCATCCACATACTGTCATAAACTGTAATTTTTTTCCTATACTGCCCATATACCTGTATGATTAGGTGTATGGTCAGTAGGTAAGTTAAAATATTTTCTACCTTCAACAAATAAAATAAATATAGGTATACCTCGAAAACCAATGCTCCAATAACCACCGATTCTCATAACCTGACGATTGCATATAAGGGAAATACCCCAAAAGTTTCATTGATACCCTGGAGATACAAGAGCGGGAAAGGAACAGCAGAGCTGTTTTCAATTTGGTGGGCAGAGGAGGAGGCAGCAGCCGCAGAGTCTCAGTGACTCCACCCTCCTCTCCCACCCTCCACCTCCGCTCCCACCCTCCACCTCCGCTCCCGCCTTCCTCCTTCTCTCCACTACCCACCACACACTTGCTCTACCACGTCCGTCCGCCTATCGGTGAGTACCAATACAAACTTAGTACTCTAGTTCTATCTACTATTCTGTATAGAAATGGCAGTAATTTTCTGTATATATAACTTTTTTCATGGGGCAAAGGGAGGCTGGGAACGTAACTACCCATATTTTATCTATTTCTTATGGGGAAAATTGATCCTCTTAACGTTGTTTCGCTTAACGTCGCATTTTCAGGAACGTAACTGGGGGACTGGTGGTAGAAGCGGTACCGTTCTTGCCTCGCAAGCGAGATGTCACAGGTTCGATTCCCGGGCCGGTGGAAGTTGTTTGGACTTACTTCCTAGTCCCCATTGGTCCCTGTTCACCTAGCAGTAAACTAGGTACCTGTTGTAAGTCGAAAGTTGCGAATTCGTATTCAGGGAGTTGTTGGAGCTTCCAATAAACCGCTGACTTCAGGCTTCTACGCCCTTGACTCTTCATGCTTCTACGCCTTTAACTCTTGAGACATAAAGGCAAGCATGAACTTAGCATGCTACCCTGTTGGGCGCTGTAAACGCTTCTGCGCTTCACCTTACACAAGGATGTAGGGGAGTGCCCAATAAAAAAAAAAAAAAAAAGGAGCGTAACCCCGACGTTAAATGAGGACTTACTGTATAAGGCTACGGGAGTAAACCCTGAAGGAAAACTCTGCGGTGAAGCCCCGCATAAGGCAGACAATGTTACAGAGCTCCATAAGACCCTAACGGCGTATAAGCGGAAGAAGTGACCACCATGGGAACCCAACGACCACACCGGTGGATGAAGGCAATTGATGATGGACAGGCTTCTAAGGCAAAACCCAACAAACTGGGCTATCAGCAGTCCATTGCGACTCTCCCTCTCCCCAGTCGTTGCAATACTTGAATTACTGGATCAGGAAAAGGAAGAGCCAGGATGTGTCGTTGCAGCCTGCGCTCCTGCCTCACCATATAAATCAACTCACATGCAGCCATCATCCAGCTCATCTTACTCATCATCATCAAAACCACTTTACCCCCTAAAGTCCTATGGCGACGGGGACAGACAGAGATAACTGCCGGGAGTCTAATCACAACTCTGCACATGGGCGGCACATTTAAGATGGCCGTTTATGCACTGGGATCTAGGCAGCCACTCTGCTCACCCCACATGGGGAGAGGGTAAGAAAAGGTGCCCTAAACATAGCCTGCGTAAAGAACCAACCTGACTGGTCAACCGCACCCAGTAAGGTCATCCTTGTACGGTCGAAAACACAATCATAATCACAGATCAAAACAAACACAAACTATACAACCTCCTATAGTCGTTGAATAGAATGCCAGGAACCTTTTGCCCTTGTGGCAAAAAAGCTGGCTCCCAGACGAGGGTCAACTCACAGAATGGGGGGCCTGGCTATACCTTCTTCTGGAAGGGTAAGCCTTCTGCATTTACGGAGCTGGCTTTGCTATCTGCCAACGCATCCTACACAGGCTAACCGAAATGCCTGTTGGGATCAACTAGCGTCTCATGACGCTCCGAGTCCAACTGAATCACTCACATCATGCCTTTTTCATCAGTGCATACGCCGCAACACTGGATGCAGATGATGACATCAAGGAGGCCTTTTACACCGACCACGACAGAGTGTTAACCTCTATCCCCAGAGAAGATAAGGTTGTGCTCCTTGGTGACTTCAATGCCAGAGTTGGTAGAGATCCTGACATTTGGCAGGGAACCATAGGGAGAAATGGACTAGGCACTTGCAATCCCAACGGCTTACTCCTCCTCAGCAAGTGTGGTGCACACAATTTTATTATCACCAATACCTTGTTTAGGCAGGCCAACAAGTTCATGTATTAGCCCCTTAGTCTTTATATAAATGTGGGGGTAGTACATTAATCTTATATAATCATATCACCCCCAGTAATTTTCCACTAGCAATAAGGTGACATTTTCCGATCACATGATGGGTAAGTTTCCACCCTTGAGGCGTAGCCCTAAAATGATAGGTCAGCTAGTAGAAGCCGGCTAGCGCTCTCACTATCACTTCAACTCACATCAATCAGACGGATTTAGTAGAGCTAAACTAAGATAGCCTCCATCCTCATTTAACACTAAATGAAGAAAAGGACCAGTTGGGTTTTGCTCCTAAAAGCTCAATAAACTTTTAAATGTTCCAGCTCCATTAACTCATCAAGAATCAATGGTTAAGGGCGAGAACATTCAACATCGGATCAGATGTGCATCTCAAGCTTTTGGCAGACTCCGTACCTGTGTCTTCAGCTGTAGGGAGCTGAAATTATCTACAAAGTTGCACTTATATCGAGCAGTGGTTCTCCCCACCCTACTATATGGCAGCGAGACATGGGTTACATAGAAAAGGTATCTCAAGGCACTTGAAAACTTTCACCAACGTAGTCTACGTTCCATCCTCCAAGTTCGCTGGAAAGACAAAGAGAACAAATGCCAGTATTCTTGCTGATACCAACTGTAGGAGCATCGAGGCTACCATTATCCATGAACAACTATGCTGGACAATGTTACCCACATGGATGACAGTACACTGCCAAAACACTTTACAGTCACCTAATGAATAGTAAACGTAACTCTGGTGGGCAACTGAAAAGGTATAAGGATAGTCTTAAAACAAACCTGAAAAAGTGCCAAATCGACCCCCCCACCTGGGAGACGATTACTCCACAAGGTAATGCTTGCAGGAGCACCACAAAAGGTGTCAATACTTTCGAGTTAGCCCGACTGTATAACGAAGCAGACAAGCGCCAACGTCGGAAAGACGCTGTCGCCGCCTTTCCTTCACTAGATGTAGCCCTCCACATGTTCAACATCTGTGAACGACACTGTCGGTCCCATATCGGCCTCTTTAGTCACCTCAGAACTCCCAATGTGGGTGACATCCTTAATAACTCATATCATTGTATCTTAGCTGGAGGATCGTCATACTGGATTCCGGAGTGACAGCAAAGTAGTACGTAGTGATGGACCAAAAAAGAGGGGTAGAGACTTGAACTTGCCACCCTAGACCATCTCTGCCATCCTCAACACAGGTAAATAAGTCTCAATTTAATGCTTTACATTGCTTATTTAATGCTTATTATGCCTGCTTTATATTTCTGCTTGACAATGTGCATGTCAAAGATATATCAAGGGGAGATGGGAATTTTGGAGGGTGGTCAGTCCCTAAACCCCTGAATTTGTTATATTCTTATGGGATTAATTCTTCAATAACCGTTGATTCACTGACAAACGACTTTTCCTGGTCCCTATATGCATTGGTTATTGGGGTACATATGTACACTTAATAGCCGTTCAGTACATATTTACAATGTTTCCCTTAAATACCACATTACTACAGGTTTACAGAAAAGTTTAATAGTACACACAGGTTCAGCAGTACACACAGGTTCAACAGTACACACAGGTTCAACAGCACACACAGGTTCAACAGTACACACAGGTTCAACAGCTCACACAGGTGCAACAGCTCACACAGGTTCAACATTACACATAGATTCAACAGTACACACAGGTTCAACATTACACACAAGTTCAACAGCACATGCAGGTTCAACAGTACACACAGGTTCAACAACACACACAGGTTCAACAGTACACACAGGTTCAACATTACTCACAGGTTCAACAGCACACACAGGTTCAACAATACACACAGGTTCAACATTACACACAGGTTCAACATTACATACAGGTTCAACATCACACACAGGTTCGACAGTAAACACAGGTTCAACAGCACATACAGGTTCAACAGTACACACAGGTTCAACAGTACACACAGGTTCAACAGTACACACAGGTTCAACAGTACACACAGGTTCAACAGCACACACAGGTTCAACAGCACACACAGGTTCAACAGTACACACAGGTTCAACAGTACACACAGGTTCAACAGCACACACAATTTCAACATTACACACAGGTTCAACAGTACACACAGGTTCAACAGCACACACAGGTTCAACAGCACACACAGGTTCAACAGTACACACAATTTCAACATTACACACAGGTTCAACAGTAGACACAGGTTCAACAGTAGACACAGGTTCAACAGAAGACACAGGTTCAACAGTAGACACAGGTTCAACAGTAGACACACGTTCAACAGTACACAGGTTCAACAGTAGACACAGGTTCAACAGTAGACACAGGTTCAACAGTAGACACAGGTTCAACAGTACACACAGGTTCAACAGTAGACACAGGTTCAACAGTACACACAGGTTCAACAGTAGACAGGCTCAACAGTGTACACAGGTTCAACAGTGGACACAGGATCAACAGTACACACAATTTCAACATTACACATAGTTTCAACAGTAGACGCAGGTTCAACATTACACACAGGTTCAATAGTGGACACAGGTTCAACAGTACACACAATTTCAACATTACACACAGGTTCAACAG